TACTTGCGGGACCAGTTTATACTGGAGCAGCCCTATATAGTACAGAGTTATAAATTCATGTTCACAATTTACAATTTATGTTCATGATGTAAGGTCGACGTATAATAGTTGTTTACCCGGGTTAAATGTGGCTGTCTGATATACAGACCATTAGTCCAAATTTACCTGGAAACTTGAAGTCGCACCTTACCAAGTCAAGTAAGTCAGTAAATATCACGTTTGCAACCTCGAAGCGACTATTTAGTTGTCTCGGGATAGTTTTCAGAGTTCAGACAAAGATGATTCAGTCATGTAAGAGTCAAGTCATGGTTATTCAGTCATTCAGGCTAGTCATGTCAAGATCAAGAATAGTCTATCTAATAAAGACAAGAGTTATCTATCATTTTCAGTATGTCAGCGCCTCGAGTCTCAAATTCTGAAGAATCTAAGAAATCGGGGGAGATATTCATTCATGATGGACTTCTTCTTGAGGTTAAGCTTAACCTCGGAGGGAGTAAACAGTTGCAGGTACCACAGGTTGATATACGCCGCGACGAAGAAGGGCCAATCAATAGCAACAGATCGTGCCATGATGACAAACCGACGCCTTCCATTCAAAGATGCCATGCTTAAGTCTCAGTACACTGGGAGATTACAAAGAGTTAGTATTAATGTACATTGAGGCTACTAGCTTGAGGTATAAATGCGATCAGATTACGTCAACGACGCAGGTGCAATGTTCGACAGGTGCTGTATGCAGGCGTGCCGTACTCACTTGATGAGAAGCAGGTGTGCCGCATTACAATGTGCCGCGAACGATGTGCCGCGTTGTCGAGCAGACATTCATGAAAGGTAATTACCAATACAGCTAGTTATCCTCATTTGTACATATGTGTATCTCTGGAATCTTCCGTGTGTACCAACGACTGAAGTCTTCACAACCAGTGTTCAGACTGGAGATCAGCCAGCAGGCAGGAGATGATGACCAATACGCTCCAGAATTTCATTTTGAGATCATGTCTTATCATAAAACACTTTATTTTCCGAAGTGTTTATTCTCAGTAAGCAGTATCTAAAAGTTCACTTGATTGTGAATTAATGTATCTTCAGTTAAGATTAAGTCTATTATTCAGTATTAAGGTACTGAATTCTCAAGTCATGTAATCAGTAAGTATAAGCTTTAAAGTTAAGCTTGTACATTTCAGTTTTAATATTTCCGAGGACGGAAATATTTTAAGGGGGATGGATTGTAATGCCCCATATTTTATTAATAAAGGAAATACTAGCTTTTAGTTTTAAGCTAGCCTTTGTTAATAAATAGTCATGTTCATGTTCAAGTTTAGATTGATCAGTCAGTTATATTCTATGTTCGACTATTAGTCGATAAGTTATTCGGTTTACTTATTTTAGTAACCGAATAAGTTTCAGATTTAATTCCGATTCGTTTAATTAATTAATGAGTCTGGAATTAATTATTCAGTCAGCGATATCCCGTCAGTTTATCAGTATAGATTATGTTTTTAGTTCCGATATTATTTTCGGAATTAAATCATTTCAGTCATTTCAGTCGAGATTACCGAAAATTATTTTCGACGTACCGTTTACGTTCGGAATAATTTTGGTAATTAAGTATTATGCTTAAAAGTTAATTAGCATTAAGGTTAAAAGGGCCGTATGGAATTTTTTCCATTAAGCTTGATAAAGCCGTACGGAACTTCATATATATTTCCCAATTTTCATAAGCTTTCTCCTTCTATTTTTTTTTTCAAGCCTCATACGTTTCAAGATGGTGAATTAAGGGAGCGATTAGTCATGATAAGTGGTGTCATTATGGAGCGTCAGTTCTTATCGCTCCAGCAGAGCACTCGTACAGTTGATGAGAACGAGAGAGAGTTTACTAGACTTGCAGCTTTTGTTCCGGACCTGGTTCGCACGGAGGCTCAGAGAGCACAACGTTTAATCGACGGGCTTTACCCAGCAGTCCGTCACAATATTGTAGGCCATGAGAAACAGACATACGCTCGTGCAGTTTCTATTGCCCAGGAAGTGGACGCCAGTATTAGGAGGGAGGCCGTCCGTGATCGTGCCCAGCCATCCGCCCCAGTTCCGCCATTCACAGCTCCACCAGCCTTACCAGCTGCTCAGCCGACAAAGGAGAAGAAGAGGAAGGGGAAGGGCGCACAGACTGATAGGAGGACCCGACAGAGACAGCAGTAGGTTCCACCGTGCCCGACTTGCGGACGACTTCATCGGGGAGAGTGCCACATGGGTCAGGACATCTGCTACTACTGCCACGAGCTGGGACATTTTGTGAGCCGCTGTCCGAAGAGATTTCAGCAGCAGCCCCAGCAGCCTCAGCAGCCACCACAGCAACAACAGCCACGTCAGCAGGTGCAGAGGCCACCTCAGCAGCAGCAGCAGAGGGGCATACAGCAGGCCCGAGTCTATGCGATTGATCAGGCCGAGGCAGCACAGCAGCCAGGTACTATGTCAGGGATGGTTGTGCTTAATGATATTCCTGTTTTCGCTTTGTTCGATACCGGAGCAACGCATTCATTCATTTCACGACGATGTCTTGATGCCATCGGAGTTCATGCCGTTACCGCTGTCGATCCTCTCGAGGTGAGTTTAGCCTCGGGACGAAAGATAGTGACCTCAGCTAAAGCTTCAGACCTTAGCCTTTCCATCGGTGGCCGAGTATTGTCTACTGACGCATTTGTTCTCGAGATGAGGGACTTCGACCTTATTCTCGGAATGGATTGGCCATTCTTTTATCATGCAGACATCAGATGTCACGACCGGGAGATTACGCTCTATCTTCCGGGAGACGAGTCGATCACTTTCTTTGGCTCCAGGAATCGTTCATTGCCTCATGTTGTTTCGATGGCGAAAGCCACTAAGTTATTGCGACGAGGCAACTGCCAGGGTTATCTGGTGAGCATTGTCGACGATTATCAGAAAGCACGGTCACCTCACGATGTTCCAGTTGTTCGTGAGTTCGTGGACGTGTTCCCAGACGAGCTTCCAGGAGGACCGACTAACCGGCAGGTGGAGTTCTCTATCGATCTCATTCCAGGAGCCGGTCCAGTATCCAAAGCCCCATACCGTATGGCGCCAAAGGAGTTGTAGGAGCTTAAGGCGCAGATTCAGGAGTTATTACGACTCGGTTTCATCCGGCCGAGCGTGTCACCTTGGGGAGCACCTGTTCTCTTTGTCAAGAAGAAGGATGGACACCATGCGCATGTGTATCGACTACCGGGATCTTAACCGGTTTACGATCAAGAACAAGTACCCGCTTCCCAGGATCGACGACTTATTTGATCAGCTGAGGGGAGCCTGTGTGTTCTCAAAGATTGATTTATGATCAGGCTACCACCAGCTGAAGATTAAGAAGTCAGATATCGCTAAGACCGCTTTCAGGACTCGTTACGGCCATTACGAGTTCGTCGTCATGCCATTCGGTCTCAGCAATGCGCCAACAGTTTTCATGGACCTCATGAATCGTATCTTCCATCCCTACCTCGATCAGTTTGTTATTGTCTTTATTGACGATATTCTTATCTACTCGAAGATCCAGAAGGAGCACGAGGAGCATCTGAGGGTGGTTCTCGAAACCCTCAGACGAGAAAAGTTGTTTGCAAAATTCTCCAAATGCGAGTTCTGGCTCCAGCGAGTATCCTTTCTGGGTCATGTTATTACTCATGCAGGTATCGAGGTGGGGAATCAGACTAAGTACTACATTGATTATAATTACGGTACCATGTTTGAGGTATGTATTTCATGTCATGTATCCGCTCGGAATGGTCGCCGGTCCATTCTGAGTTCTAGTGGCCCTAGTCTGCCCACTAGAGTGTGCACATGGTGTCCGACATTAGTTTGTGCCAGCAGATGAGGTAACGGTCATGGTTCACGTTCACGTGATGATATCAGATTCATGTTCATGTTATTACCGGTTTCATGTTCAGGTTATGCATATGCCAAGATCGTGATGTTGTTATTATTTTCAATGTTTACATTAGTATAAGTTTCCACGGAGCACAGTGTCATAGTGCTCACTTCCCACTGTTATCATGTTTTTCAGGTCAGGACGTCGTGTCATAGTGCTCACTTCCCACTGTTATCATGTTTTTCAGGTCAGGACGTCGGGCCGGGAGCGTGAGATGACGGAGGCTTCAGGACTTTTATGTTTTGACTGTGTATATATTATGACGATATTACATTTCCGCTGATTATGGTTTTGACGAACTTATATTTTGACCGAACTTTTGGAAAACTTTATGCTTTCAGTAACAGTATGATTTTATTAAAAATTAAGATAACGGTTTTCCAAAGTAAGTCACGTTTTACGGTAGCACCCCGAATCAGTTTTCGCAAAGTAAAAGATTTTATTTTTAAATAACTTTGCGAAATTTTCGCACTCTGATTTCACGATAAGGCGGGGTGTTACAGAAATAGAACTTGGACATTGCCCTAAGTTGCTGGGAAATACGTGCCGTATGGCGAGTGTATACAATTTAAGCAAAAAGACATAGGAGTCAAACCGACCTATCCTTAAGACAATCAAGGTTAATCTTATTTACTAAGGAATCGATATATTTCTAGAAAATGGAATCGATTGAATGATATGTAGATTACCATCTAGAATGGGCGATGCTACGAAAGTCGCACGTATTGCAGTGAGAGTTTTCTGTATATTGAATTATTTGGTTTTGAGTAATTATTTTTGCATACGAAGTTTTAGAAAGAATTCAGTTTCAGTTTTTAAATTGTGTATGGATATAACATATTGTTTGATGGCAAGTGTGTTGTCTAGAAAATGAAACGTTTATTCATTTGGTACGTGGGTAGATAATAGTTGACTCAAGTAACCAAAAGCTCTCACAGTGCAATAAATGGAAGGAAGTGAAACATCGACTAAAACCAATAAGAGACAAGGTCTTTTGGACATTGGTTAAGTAATTGATGAGTTAATAAGGATCATCCAGTTTTTCGTTTTGGGGTTGTGCAGATTCTGGCATAAGCTCTGAGCAAAGTTCGATCTAGATTAGTATCTTCTACTTCAAAAAGATTATGGATAGGACTGAGACCCTGTCAGGACATATTCGAATTTGGAGTATTTTCGGCATCGATTGAAAAGTTGATACTAATAAGATCGAAGAGTCGTCCAGAAAATCAGCTATTTGTGGGATACTCCATAGTAATGAAAAAGATGGTTTATTTTATAATACTAAGAATCAGAAGGTGATCGTTAAAACTGTAGGGAACTTTATCTGGAAAATAAAAATAAGATGGCTAAATAATAAAATATCGAGGCCTGTGAGAACACAGTGTCCTTAAAACAGATTCACCCCGTATGAGCGTCTGTTTTCAGGATACAACAGAAAAACCGAAACAAATTCGGCGAACTGAAACTATGCCTGGACCAAAACACTTAAAAGAATATATGGGGAAATGACTTTAACAACTCTTTTGTTTTCTTCTTTTCGTGAGTCCCATCAAAAGAAGACAAGTCTTCTTATATAAGCTTAAGATAGCCACATACATTAATACTTCATTAAAATCAAAATTTAATTAAGTTAAGTTAAAGATTAATCTTGTAACATGAAACAAGTTACAAGTTTTGAAATGAAAGACACGGTTTCAAAATTTAATCTTTATGTTACAATTTCATTCCCAATTTTCCAACAATCCACCACATGAATGAAATTGAAAAATAATGTTATGGTCCAACAGTTGAAATCTTGCATAGGATAGGTAGGTGTTACCCTTTGAACCTTCCCTTGTGAAAGTATATTAACTTTACTAACTGACCAGTAAATGCGATGTCTTTGAATTGTTCTGCCTTTTGTGTAAATGATGAATATACTTCAAACAGGATTCTCCCTAAAATATTCCAATTCTCATTATTATGTCCATTAGTGGCCCTGGACATAGCCTGGTTCTGTGAGAGGGTCTAAGAATTGAGCCTCACACAATTCTCTTCAAAGCGGCCCCACTTCTCTCTTACATAGGTGATTCTTAATTACAAGTAGCTCATACTACCTTCCCATACAAGAATCATTAAAAGCCAAATGCTTATCCTTACTCACACCGGGTATCACTGTTTAAGGAATGGACAATGGATAATATCTTACAGTGATCACAAGAGTCTTTTTACAATAGGTTGTCCCTTTGAACCAAGATCATGGGATCTCCAGTCAACAAGGTAGGGTTTCTATTGTATCAACTTATTTCTAGAGGCTTAAGTCCCATTCTTTTCAAAGATCTAGCAACCAACTCTCTGTTTAACCCTTTGGTTAGCGGATCCGTAAGATTATCTTTTTACTTCACATAGTCAATAGATATAGTACCAGTTGAGAGTAGTTGTCTAATGGTATTATGTCTTCGACGGATATGTCTAGACTTACCATTATACATATTACTTTGTGCCATGCCTATAGCCGATTGACTATCACAATGTATACAAATGGCTGACACAGGATGTGACCATCTTGGAATATCTTCTAAGAAATGGCGAAGCCGCTCTGCCTCTTCTTCACTTTTGTCCAATGCTATAAATTCTGACTCCATTGTGGATCTGGCAATAACAGTCTGCTTAGAATATTTCTATGATATGGCTGCACCTCCTCTGTCACTTCTTATCACCTTAGGCTTTTTATTTAGTTGATTTTCAACTTCATTTTTATAGAGAATAAATTTCTATATTTTTTTTCCTTACTTTTGAGAAGGTACACATAACAAATTTTAGTGCTATCATCTACAAAAGTAATGAAATATTTATTTACACCACGTGTCGTGACAACTTTTAAATCACATACATCAGTGTGAATTAAATCAAGTGGTTCACTATTTCTTTCAGTAGTTTAAAACGGTAATCGTGTCAATTTTGCTTCAACACAAGTTTCACACTTAAGTTTTGAATCAATATGGAACATAGGTATGCTTTTCAATTTTATTAACCTGTATAGGGTATGATAATTGACATGTCCCAGTCTACCATGCCACACAATGGAAGACTCAAGCATATAAACAGAAAGATTAACATTTTTATCTATAGTCACCAAATTGAGCTTAAAAGCCCATTACATTCATAACCCTTCCCTACAAATGCTCCATTTTTAGTCAAAATGACTTTATCAGATTCAAACACTACAAGAAAACCCTGTTTGATCAACAAAGAACCAGACACCAGGTTCTTGCGAATTTCTGGTACATAAAGGATATTATTAAGAGTCAACTCTTTTGCAGATGTCATTTTCAGTACCACTTTCCCAATCCTTTGATGTTAGATGTGTCAAAATTTCCCATGAAGGGCTTTTCTCCATCCATCGTCTCGTCAAGGACATTAAACAATTCCTTGTTTAAGCAAACATGACGGGTAGCACCCGTGTCAATCCACCATTCATGTGGATTTGAGCACACCAGATTCACCTCGGATATAACTACAGCGAGGTGCATCTCATCAACATCTTTTGCCAAATTTTCCACCATGTGGGCTTCTTGATTTTTCTTTGGCAACCTGCAATCAGATGCCTTATGGCAAGGTTTATTACAATTATAACAATTTCCAGAAAGTTTTTTTTTGAAATACTGTTTGTTTGGCCCCAATACTGCCTTGCCAGTACTGCCATATTTTTTCTTATTATTTTTTCGTGAGCTTTCACCATGCTCAACCACATTGGCCTTGGGCAAAGAAGGATTAACCAAATTGTTGCCATAGCCCTTGTTGTCTTCTTTAATTCGAAATCTAACAACAAGCTCTTCAACAGTCATTTCTTTTTTCTTATGTGCTAAATAATTTTTAAAATCTTTGCAGCTCGATGGAAACTTTGCAATTATGGCAGCCACCTTTAAAGTTTCATTCACCACCATTCCCTCGGAATGGACATCATGCAAGATTATTTGAAGCTCTTGCACTTGACTGATTACAGTCTTCAAGTCAACCATCTTTTAGTCCAGAAACCGGCCTACAAGAAATTTCTTGGCCCCAGCGTCTTTGGTTTTATATTTTTTTATCCAAAGACTCCCACAGCTCTTTTGTCGTTTTGATAGAACTGTACACGTTTTACAGTGTATCAGCCAGTCAGTTCATCACATAATTTCTACATAAGAAATACGAGTGATTCCACGCTTCAAGCGCACTAACCGATTGAATATTCAGATTTTTCCCCAACTTTGGAGGATTTTCCGTCAAGAACCTCGCAAGGTTCAACGTAGTGAGATAAAACAACATCTTTTGCTGCCAACGCTTGAAATTCAAGCCATTAAATTTTTTTGGTTTATCCGCATGATTTACCGGAACAGAAGGAGAAATAGAAATTGTAGAAGCAACACCGGTATTTGCAACGCCAATAGTATTTTGTTCAGCAGCCATCTTTAATCGGAATCTGTTTTAAGATTGTAGGGGACTTTATTCGGGAAAATAAAAATAAGATGGCTAAATAATAAAATACCGAGGCCTATGAGAACACAGTGTCTTTAAAACAAATTCGCCCCGTATGAGTGTCTGTTTCCCAGGATACAACAAAAAAACCAAAACAAATTCTGCGAACGGAACTATGCCTAGACCAAAACACTTAAAAGAATATATTGGGAAATGACTTTAACAACTCTTTTGTTTTCTTCTTTTCGTGAGTCCCATCAAAAGAACACAAGTGTTCTTATATAAGCTTAAGATAGCCACATACATTAATACTTCATTTAATTTAAAATTTAATAAAGTTAAGTTAAAGATTAATCTTGTAACATGAAACAAGTTACTAGTTTTGAAATGAAAGACACAGTTTCAAAATTTAATCTTTATGTTACAATTTCATTCACAATTTTCCAACAAAAACGAATACCTGATTCTTAGAGGAATACTAAGTGATAAACCATAGGCCCATTTGTAGTGTTATCATAAGGAACGATAAAGGTGAAAGTTCAAACTTCGTTACCGCGTGTATAAAATGTTATACCACAATATGACTGCAACACGTGTCTCTAGAAATACACCTTTGCCAGAGGTACTTGTCGTAGTGGAAGCGCTGCAAAGTGATTATCATACGTTCGTGTTGATGAGAGAGTCTTTGACTCAGTCTCTAGTAAACACGAAGTTGTGTATTCATGTTCTTGAGAGAAGTCTATGGACTTAGTCTCTAGTGAATGTGAAATAAATCTCAGATATATGATAAGATGCTCATTGTAGTGGGAGCGTTACAAGAAAACTGCCATACATACAATGAGAAGCTCCGAGACAGTAGATGCAGGAACTTAACAAACGACAATGATTTATGATATAGAGTCTTGGACTTCAATCAGATCTGGGACCACCAAGTGGCATAACGCCATTGGGGTTAGTGGATCTACGAGTAAATTCGTGTAGATCTCCACAAGTAGGCTTGTTGTGAAATAATGAACTCATAAAGAAGTTGGATCTATTATGAGTTAACCTTTTCACCAGTAACCATACTTGAGTCTATACGAATTTTAGGCTGAGGCCACTCATATATAATAAGAGTTTGGCATCGTGGATATCAAGATGAGGTCTTGAATGAAGATCAATGAAGAAGCACCCAGAAACGTTCATTGCAGATTGCTAATAGCATCTAGTCAGTAAACCGAAACAGTTTATTTCTAGACTGAAGTAAGTTTTGTTATCTGGTATATTTGGTTGTTCAAGTCTGTGTATATGATCAGTCACCAAATGAGCATTGTGTGTTTATGAGAAGCGTGGTGGTATTTTTATACTATTTGTAAACGACATATCGATCACTTGAAGAAGTGAAAGGATATTGTCAGGCGCAGAGGTAGGGTTATCCAAGCAGTTGGATAAGAAGCATTTGGATAAATCGACACATGTTCTTCAGATCAAGGATCACAAGAAAGGATTGTTTCGATTTTTCCAAATTTCTCTCTATGGACTGTCATAAGGCTCATTCGTAGCATATGTGACATAAAGGCAGTTCCTTATGCTCGGCAATAGAAATCCTAATATATGCAATGTAGTAAATGAGACCAGATATCTATTTTTGCCAAGGGCATAGTCGGTAGATATCGAAGTAATCCTTGAAAGGTACAATTGGTTCATGGTAGAACATATGGTCAAGCTACCGTAACTGGGCTAAGAACTATATGTAGAGTTGCCAAAGAATCATGTGCAGTCTATGGATTACAATAGATTCTAATTTCTAATCAGACATAAATGATAGTGTAAAATCTACCTCGGGATTTGTGTTCACTTGTGAGGTAGAACCAAATGTTTGGATCCAGAAACCTCTATTGTACTAGAACGTGAAGATCCTTGTTTGCCCAAGTCAGATCACAATTTGATTGTGATGATAGTTGGTGCAGTTGCAAGCAGAAAGAAATTACAAGTTCATAAGGCAAGTGAGCGCATAGAGTAAGTACGACCCATTGCAAGGAATCGCAAAGGGGTAGAGTTTTGTCGCTTAGTTACGTTAGGAGACGACAAGGAAGATCCTTTTAGAATTGGCATTTTAGAGAATGCCGTTGATTGGGGAGTCGAATGCATGGCAGTTAAGACAATAGTTCTTTGAGAATAGAGATTGAAAGAAGTATACTAGTAAAGCAGAAGCTTTAAGTATAAGTGGGAGATTGTTGGTGTTTATTCTGAACTATTTACATTGAACCCGTTTGAATGAGAATCATGTATAGTTAAACAGTCTATGTTCTGTTGTTTTGGACTTAGATATAATGGATCGTTAGCGGGCGAACAGAAGATCATTCTATCAGTTACTTTCGAAACAAGAATTTTGGTTCACAACCTAGATGGAAATGAACACCCCATCCGAACGATTGTAGTGATAACCGTGCAGTTGGTCTTGACTGATTAGTTACACTAGTACACTTTGTGTATTGAACGGATCCCAAAGATGAGAAGCTCGTTTTATACTAATCATTGTAAACGAACTAGGCATCAATTAATTACTGCGTTCTCTTAACCCGTAAGATATTAAATATATATTAAATTAATTTACATGGGTGAGGTTTAGTGAACTGGATCAATAGACCCACTGTTTTGGGCAATATTGCTACATGTATGATGTGTTGTTAGGATATTTACGACCACCGTGTCCGATAGTTTGATAATGTCCCCGAAATGAGCTCATGAAGGATTATTATGTTAAATCTAGCTAGTGGAATTTATTCGACATATAATAATGGAATGAGTGGTACTAGGCTCGGTTATAGATGCTGAAGTTTGATACTCGTACACCAAGTATTCAGCGTTGCACATAAATAGACTAAACAGACAGTAACGAAGATTCAAACAAATACGGAAGTAGTGTTTACTAAGAATTGAACCTTCAGGAGAGCGTCCCACTCTCCCTTCAGATCTCTTTCATTAATGTGAATAACTCAAATTGTAATATCCCGCTAGTTTAATAATAAAAATCATGTTATTAGTTCCGATATAATAACGTCATCGATTATTATTTTCGGAATTAATTAGTTTCAGTTGAAATTATCCGAAATTATTTTCGACATTCCGTTTACGATCGGAATAATTTTGGAAATTAAGCATTATTTTTAATTAAATAATAAACATAAATTAGTGATTAATTAACAATTAATCACATTTATAGTAATTAAGGCCGTATGGATTTGTCCATTTATTTGTTAAGCCGTACTTAATTCTTCATAAGTAAGGAAATTATTTCCTCATTTGTAAGTGCTCTTACGTGTCATTAATAGAGAGTTAAGTGGTGATTAGTCACCATAAGCTTACTCTCTTTTTGGCAAGTGTCATTAGTGGGTGTAACCACATAAGGCATCATCATCCAACTTTCCATTCGGTCAAGTATATAAAGATGGAGTTGGAGCAAATTTTTCCCCACGATTAAGCTATATGCTCATCTTATATTTCTCTAAAGTTCAGCAAATATATAGGATAGCCATTGCCTTAGTTCTTTTACACTACACGCACGGCAAGTTGCACCGCAAGCTCAGCACACACGCACGCACACGCCGCACGCGAGCATCACGCACGAAGCGCCGAACGCCGGGAGTACCTGGTGTGGTTCAGCGAGCACATAAGAGGTAACTTTGGTTACCTTGAGTTATTCATGATAAGGGCATATTAGTTCGAATTATTCATGTTCATGGTGCGGTCTTAGGCATTTCGGCCGTGCAAGTGCGTCGTGATGAGCTCATTTTTTAAGTTAATGTCTCTCGAACAATAATTATGAAAACAACCTTTTCATGTTATACCATGTTTATTCAGTTTATGTTGTTCGGGAGAATATTCATGTTGCTCGATAGTTCGGCCATGGGATGTGGTCGCGCATGTAGCGCACCACGGGCCGAACAAGTGTAGCATGTATGTAAAGTTCAGTCCTTTGGGTATTTCATGTTCGTTTGTTCAGTAAATGATGTTTCATGATTAGTTATGGGTTCATTATCGAGAAAGGATCGTGTTCGGTCGAGAGACGGCCCAACGCCATAGACGGCGCACGGTGCGCACGCCGGTCATGTACGGTTATTGGGCAAAATTCATGTATTTTAAGTTATTTCAGTGTTTATGATCTTGTCATGTCAGTTTATGTCAGTTCAGGTCAAATTGCACGAGGGTTGTTGCCGGACGGCCGGCAAGGGCCGGCCGTGGCCGCGCTGAC